CGCTGCATTCATCCGAGGACTCTTTTTACAGTGACAGAAACACCAGCTTATATTTCATGCAGATTTTTATTAATAGAGACAAGTTTATTGCACAAAGTTTATTTATCCCACATGGCCAGCTGCGTTCTTTACTTGTGAAGTTATAGAATCCAGCTGCTTGATTTTTCAAAAAAAATCATATTTGCTGAAAGATGAGCAGGGAAAGTGAAATTGCAAACATCTGGATGGACACGATTTGTAAAATTTATTTACTCAATGAATGCCAAGTCCAAATTATCTAAGGCACTGATAATTCAAGCAAATTGGTGACCCTTCATTTCAATATTGCTTAACCAAAGGAAATAGCAGCAGCTAACAGTCTTCCATTGCTTTTGGGGACACTGTGCTGAGCTCTCCACCGAGGTGGTCTCCTTTCAATGGCAATATCCCATGGCATGAGGGCTAGTATTTATTATATTTTATTTTATTCTTTTGGACAGTATTATTAATATCAGTCCTAATACTATTGTACAGAAGGGCTGAGACCCAGAGAGACTACATAATTTGTTCATGGTCACCCAGTGGTCTGTGGCAGGGCTTGGATTCCAACCCAGACTGATTCTGGAGCCAAATAAGTAATTGTTTATTTAATGAATGTTTGCTTTCTAAGGCCATATACTCAAAAGATTGGGATTATGTTCCAGTTTTTTTTTTTTTTTTTTTTTTGGTATAAAACCTACAACATAACCATGAGCTGCTTGATGAATTCAATTAGAGGTGACAGGGAGCAATTTAACATGCTTCTTGAAAATTGGGAAGCCTAAGTCTTCACAATATACTGCATGACCAAATACCAGCAAGATCATGCATACTGACCTTAGAACAAAAATGACCAGCCACAGCCGGTGGGCCAAATGCTGCCCACAGCCTGTTTTTGTAAATAAAGTTTTATTGGAAACAGCCATTTGTTATCCCACAGTTGTTTTCACAGTCTCATGGCAGAGGGAAACAGCTGTGACAGAGCCCGTAAGGCCTTCAAAGCCTAAGGTATTTACCCTTTCTGAAAAAATTTCCTTTTTTCTGCCTTAGAGTGTTGTTCTTAACTTTTTTTATGTCATCACTCCCTTTACAACCCCTCTAACAATATGTTTTACATGCACAAAATAGACTAAAAAACAACAAGAAGACAAAAGAGGCCAACTAGACTGAAATAGTTACTGAAAATGTTAAAAGAAAAAAGAAAAAATTCTGTGATGTGGCAATGTGTACGCTTTATCAGTGTATTAAATAACAAGATCTAGCGGCGGGTCTTGTAACAACAGTAACTTCTAAATAGAAAAGTGTGCTAAAGATATTTCCATCTAGATGCACGAGTGTGATGAAAGCATCTGTGATTTTTGCTGGCAACAAGTTCATGTGCTGTGTTACCAGACTGGTTGCCTGTTTTCATAACTGAAGGACACAGTTATTTCCAGTAAATGTTCCGAAAATGAAGTAGTAAGTTTTTCACATTCAAGTTCAAGGGCCTACTTCCTAAATTCTATTCATGGGTTCCTACAAAGAATCATGAGGAATAACGCCTGCTCAGGATGTTCTACAAGGGTTTTCTAGATACCTCCCTGCTCATATTACTGTGATAGTCATTTCATTTCTTGAACAATCAAAAGAACCGAAACCCAGAAAAACCAGATGAGCAAATCTCAGAGCTAAGTTGCAGAGTGTAATAGCACTTTCTGACCTGAAAAGCAAAGGGTCTAAACTCTTCTGTTATTGTATCTTGTTCTAGAAGAACAAACTTATTTCTTAAATGAAGTGTACTGATCAGACAGGCCCACTGAACTGTTCTTCAAAGCCACTGACTGTTCCTACCTACTACCGGAATCCCCTCGGGCTCTGGCATCCAGTGGGCTTAAGGAATGTTGCTGAATGAAGAAGGCACTGATACGTTCAAGCTGAAAAATCTTTCTTGAGTTTAAGTTGGTACTGAAATGACTGACGATTTAGTATACTGAATTGACTCAAAGGTAAAAATAGAATCCTATTAATTTACAATTTTATGAGTGTCACCAATTTATACAATAGAAAAATTAACATTCCATGGAGACAATGCAGAAATGGCATACACCTAAATTTTTAGAAAACATACTGCTCTGAGTGGTAAATTCATCTTTATAGGTTGCAGGGAATCACTTTCATAAACAAATCCTTGAGTTTCTCTAGCTTAGTCTGAGGGAGAATACTGAAGAATCAGTTGGGCATCAGTTATGCTAATGTCATAGCTTGCTTAATAGCTTACACAAGTGTCCCTAAGTCTCCCCCCCCCAGCCCCCACCCCTGTGGCCATGGCCTCTGCTGTGTATGTGATTCTGTGCACTTTCCCACTGGGGGCAGGGTGGCTTGCCATCACCCACAGTAGTGGGCTCAACCATGTCACTGCATTCGGCCAATGGTATCCTAAGTACACTTGATAGAAGGAGTGGCTTGACATGGCCTTATGGGGCTTGCTTGCTTGTATCTCAGTCTTTACCACGAGGTGGTCAGTCCTGGCCTAGCCCTCTCATCCCAAGACGACAACAGACAAGTAGTACAGAGATGAATTACCCCAACCAAGGGTCGTGGCCAACCAGCCGATGGCCAGCAGATTCTCAGACTTGTGAGCCCAGTAGTTACCTGGTGGTCCCCAGCTGATCCCAAAGATGTCAACAGAAAAGGCATATTGTTGTATCTACATAGGTTTGGTGGAGGTTTTTTCTTTGTTTCTTTTTTTTTTATTATTATGTTGCGTCATTGTGACAAACACGATGTAGATCTTAGTATCTAGAAATGAGGTACTGCCAAAGCAGAGGACCAAAACATGTAGCACTGGTTTGGGGACTGATTTGCAGGTGGAGGCTGGAAAGATGACAATTCCCATTAAATGGCAAGCATTTCATGAAAAATATTTGGTGAAACTGCCACCTGAGATAACTTAGAAGGCAGAAGGCACGTGAGTTTGAGCTTTCTGAGAGAGAGAAATTCTAGACAGAATAGAGTGTTTCAGAAGCTGCCTATGATTAAGTATTGTGAGGAGGAAAAGCTTGAAAAAGAGCTGAGCACTGTCTAAAGCAGAATTTAGAGGAAATATAGAATAAGTTAAAGATTTGCTGGATATGGTTTTTCATCTCCAACCAGATTTTCAAAGTAAGATGAAGATCCTGTTTGGGGAACTGATCTTAGAGAAAAGACAAATGAGAAACGAAGGGTCTGGATGCAGGATTCTGTTAAATTCTCCAAGTGGTTCCCTTAGATGGACGGAAGGCTTTCCGGCACCTGGGAACATTAAAGAAGGAAGTCTCTGAGGCACGTGAAGAGGCAAGACTCCAGAAAAGGTGTGTGGCTTCGGGCATACAGGCACACAGGAAATCCACCACGTTTTTAAGATGGCTCTACCAGCAAAACCGTCACCAGCCTAGGCCAGCATAATATGCAAAAAAGACCCCCCAATTCTGGTGGGCAGGAAGCGGGCTGAGAAGCTCCTCGGAGGATATTTTCCAACCCTTATCAAAGTGGGAAGGATGATTCAGTAGGCAGAGGGAAGAACCAGGCAGCTAACCCAAGGCCTAATCTTGAAACTTGTCCTGTCTCCTGAATGGGGGAACCTGGGAGCCTCTGCCCAGAGGGTTTCAGAAGTGCTCTGGACCAAGTGGATGGGGGGGGGTCTCCATTTACCCTCTCCCAAACAGCAGGATGACTGTGGCTGTCCTGGCTGTCTGACCCCTGAATGCTGGGTGTGTGGTACTGGACCTGGAGTCTCTTTATTCTGGCTCTTTCCAGATGAAGTGGAGCCATATCCTGATCTGCTGGAGACCACACAACCCTGGCCTTCAAGTCTGACCCTAAGACAGGATGAGACTTGTGGGGTCTTTGGGGGTGGGTATGGATGCATTTTACCTGTGAGAGAGATGTGAATGATGATGGGGATGAAGTGGAATGTGTTTGCACAAGGGTCCCAAGTCCTCACCCTCCTCACATCCCTGACCTTTGCCATGTGACCTTATGGTGACCTCTCACTGTGGGTGAGCTCATCAGACACCAGAACCAACCATGTAGCTTGCTTCCTGTAGCCAATGTGACGTAAGTAGACTTGTGTAATCAGAGGCCTGAAAAAGCCTCACCCAGCAAGGATTGCTTGCTAGTCCCTCTACCATCACTGTGAGGACAAGCCTAGGTCAGCCACTGTCCCAGGAGGAGGATCAGAGATGCATGGAGCAGAGTCAGGTCACTCCAGCCAAGGCCAGAGGACAGCCAGTAGCCTGCAGCCAGCAGATCCCAGCCAAGGTCTGTGGACACAGCCTTCTCTATATACATGTTTAAGCTGAGCCAACATCCACGGCAGCCCCCTGCTGACCTGAAGGACCTGAGTAATGAGTATTTGCTATATGAAGCCACTGAGATCGGGTGGTGTTATGCAGCATCATTGTATATCAACAGCTAGCTTATACACACCCTGAAAGAAAAATAATTTGTTGAGTCATCTACTGTTGACTTTTCTGTGCTGGTGTTTGTGTGTGTGTGTGTGTGTGTGTGTGTATGTGTATGTGCGCGCGAGTGTTTGCAGTGCTGGGGATGGAACCCAGGGCCTCTCACATTGCACTGAGCTACACCCCACCCCTGTGTGCTTGCTGATCCAGCTGCCTTGTGCTGAACTATTCAGAGGAAAATTTAAACATTATCAAAATGTCTGGCCATAAACCAGAAGTTTATAGATATCCATTGCTTATATTTCTATTTCATTTAGCATACCTCCTCATTATTATATTTTACTTGCAAATACGTCATGTTATAGAAAAATATTTGTAAAGTTGCAAACTTGACGATTTCCCTGATTTAACTGTGAAAGGCCCTTCTAGGCAGAAGAAAAGCAAAATTGCAACAGTGGAAGTGATCGGACACCTCCCCTCTCCTCTGTGACCAAAGGCTCTGTAGTGCCCAACGCTGCCAGCCAGGGAGGCGAGGCGCAGCGTGGTGGCGGCGGGACTTACCGGTGTGGGAGCGCAGGTGGACGGTGAGCTGGCTCGAGTTGCGGCTGGCGTAGGGGCAGATCTGGCATTTGAAGGGCCGCTCGTCGGAGTGGATGCGCAAGTGCTTGTTGAGGCTGCTGCTGTCGGCTGCCGCGTAGTCACACGTCTTGCACTTGTAGGGCTTCACGCCCGTGTGGCACCGCGTGTGCGTCTTCAGCTTGTCCTTCCGGCTGAAGCACTTGCCACACGTTTCACACTTGTGGGGTTTGTCTCCTTCACACACACGCCAAGGGCAGCAGGAAAGAAGATTAAAGAAGAAACAGCTTATTTCCTGCCACCTTAGAAAAGAGGAATTATGCAACCCCCAAAGGAAATCTGGAAAACCCCAAAGCCACTTAGAGGGTGCCCAAAGAGCTGCCGTGGCGGGGAGGGGCAGTTTCTTCTTCTATTTGCTTATTGGAAACTTCTTCCTATGATGAGTGAGAATTCCCAATTAATTAATAACAGGAGGCAAACAAAATAAAAATTCAAGTCCAGCTGTGTGGAACCAAGGACAGCTGACGGTTCCCTGTATTTATTCTCTTGTCTCTTTTCACACTAGACAAACCCTAAAATTTGAAACCCCCAAGGTTTAGCAGAGGTCATGGCTGGCGAGCCAGGGAGATTTCCCAGCTCTGTGTCTAAGTTTCTGTGAAGGCAATGTTGGGAAAGTTGTGTGTCCCTTTTGTGAAAGGAAGCACTTTCCTCCTTATCACCGACTGTAACTGGGACACCTGCAGAGTCAGCAGGTTCAGGCAGATGCGGGCAGGGCCCCTATAGATGGTGGGAGAATGCAGCTAAGGACAGAAGGACTTCGTTCCTGCATGACCTTCTGGGACAGAGAGGCCACCCTACCCGCTTATCTGTGGGTGGTTATGTGACAGACACACAAACCCCTGTCCTGCTTGAGCTGGTGTTTGGGTTTCTCTGTCACAGCAGCTTAATCTGAACCTGACACATGTCAGTCGTGAACAACTGCTCATTTTTGATGTGTATTTTTTTATGATGATTAATCATTATTGTTGGTTGGTGCATGTGTGCTTTTTTTGGCACAAAAAATTCTCTTGGCTGACGTTAATTTAAATGCTTAAACTGTTGAACAGCATTGTAGCTCTGAATTATTTTATTTAATCCTCTTAACAATTGGAACTAGAACCCAGGACCATCTTGTTTATTTAGCCTCATGCTACAGTGATGCCCAGTTGCCTACTTTCTTGTACCTAAAGTAATTTTAGTCATCTTTTTTTCACCTCATTAAATATTCACAACATGATTTTGAACCTGAAATATTTATTTTATTTTTTTAACATTTATTTTTTAGTTATAGGCAGACACAATACCTTTATTTTATTTTTATGTGGTGCTGAGGATTGAACCCACTGCCTTACACAATCTAGGCGAGCACTCTACCTCTGAGCCACAACCTCAGCCCAGAAATATGTATTTTATACATGTGCCATCAGTGACTGAAATCAACTCCCTACGTTGCCACTGAAGAGAATGAAGTAGATGTTCACACGCTGATGTAGGAAGAGGTCCAGTAGCAAACGAAGAAGCAAGTTGTAGAGTGCTACTTAAATTATGAATGTTTTTAGTTTCACATAAGCATGCCAAATCTTTTTTTTGGGGGGGTACCAGGGACTGAACCCAGGAGCACTTGGCCACTGAGCCACATCCCCAGCCCTATTTCGTATTTTATTGAGAGACAGGGTCTCACTGAGTTGCTCAGCACCTTGCTTTTGCTGACACTGGCTTTGAATTTGTGATCTTCCTGTCTCAGCCTCCTGAGCTGCTGAGATTACAGGCATGTGTCACCGCGCCCAGCTAGGCATGCCAATTCTTTAGAATGGTATAGTAAACCATTTCGTTCAGTTGAGTCAAAAGATTAGAAGAGTATGAGAGTTGGGATTTTTCAAACTTTTTACTATATGTATCAAATATATACTTTGCCAAGTCACACACAGCCAAGTGCTGAACTACATTGTTAGCCAAAGCTGATCACTATCATCTTAGAAAAAACGTTTGGGATTTAAAAATACACCTAAAATTTTCTTATAGATTATCATTTTTGTTATTAAAAACCTTAGCAGTCAAATTTAAAAATCCAGGAATAGTAATTGCTCAGCAATATCAGCTGCTCAGCAGTTCCTGTGGCTACTGCTCTGTCTGTGTGCAACAGGTGGAGATACTTGTTGGTGCATCTGGGTGGCTTCTGGTCAGCTTTATGGGCAAGAGCCCTGTGACTGTTGCTGTCCACCAGTCCCCAGGGGTTATTAAGCACACCCTTGTCTCTGAGGAAACTAGCAAGGTCGCTGTCTAGTCAATTCTTGGAGCTAAAGATGATGATGGAGGGGTTCAGTTAATCAGGAACCACCCTACAAACACAGTTGTGGCTGGCTGCATGTGGGTGTTCTCTGCAGATCTGCAGAAATTAAGTCATTCTCGTTTGTTTTTACAATGGTCTCCCAGTCGCCACCAGGAATCACGGTCCTTAACTCTTTCAAGGATAAATATGCTGTGCTTGATGACAGAAGCTTCACCCTCTGAAGGCCACATGGAAAGATTTATTGCTTCTCACATGAAAATGCTTGCCAATACATGAAATTAAGGTCTGGATAATTAGAATAAATCTAAATGACATGACACAGGGAGGCAGATGGGATAGGATGGTGACCCCAGTGCAATAAGGCCCTCAGTCGTCCCGGCCAAGGAATATAAAAAATAACTGTTGGATGCTTCATCTTCCAAAGGCTGGGCTCGACTGCAGACTTTGGACAATTAGTGGAAATAAAGTCAAATTCACTGCATCCCTCACCTAGATACACTGACACTCTTTGAATCTGTATAATACCATCATTTGAACATGAACATCTAACACTTCGTTTAAAATTGCCTAGAAGCCATTCTTTCTCCATGCAAAACATCTGGGAAACACAAAAATAACACACAGTTGGCTTCTGTCTCTACTGGTGATGCATCTGTGGATTCAAGCAACTGTCAATCCAAAATATTCGAAAAATAAACCATAACAACAAACAAGTACAAATAAAAATACAGCAAACAACTATTTATATAGGACTTACATTGCACTGAGTGTTGAGAGTCATCTATAGTGATCCAAAGTATATGTAAGATGTGCCCGTGTGGCCAGGCACAGTGGCACATGCCTGTAATTCCAGCGGTTTGGGAGGCCGAGACAGGAGGATCTCGAGTTCAAAGCCAGCCTCAGCAAAAGTGAAATGCTAAGCAATTCAGTGAGACCCTGTCTCTAAATAAAATACAAAATAGAGCTGGGGATGTGGCTCAGTGGTCGAGTGCCCCTGAGTTCAATCCCCAGTACCAAAAAGAAAAAAAGAAAAGACACACCTGTGGCATCTATAAAACTACTATTTTAACAAGTTTCATTTTTATAAAGGACTTGAACCTTCTCAAATTCTGGTAAGCTCCCCTGAAGATCCTGAAGGACAAACTGTATTAAAGAACATTAAAATGATCAGAAATAGCCACTTTACTCTTCCCTGCTTGCCGGCCTGCTTTCTCTCTTTCTTTTTGTGTGACCCAGGGTCACTCTATCACTGAGCTACACCACCAGCCCCTTTAAAAAACTTTTTAAAATTTTGTAGCAGGATTTCGCTAAGTTGCCAAGGCCTTGAACTTGAGATCTCCTGCCTGTGCCTCCTAAGCAGCCGGGATTATAGGTGTGCACCACTTCATCCGGCTCATTTTTCTCTTTCTATACGTTCACCTTTTTCTCCTCTCTAGAAAAAGGGGTTTAGGACACAGACGCCAAAGACGTGTTACTTACCTGTGTGAATTTTTAAATGCCGCTCCATATCCTTCATACCATAGGCAGTCTTGAATTGGCAACCTAAAAACAAACAAACAAACAAGGAAATATTAATTACAAAGGAAAACACAGTTACTTTCGAGTGGAGAACACTGGCAGAAACTTCCTACTGCAAGCCACATGAGTTAGCAGCCACAGTAAAGGCACAAAGGGATGTCATTCGCCCCTTAGGTGACGCACCAGGGGCACGGCATCACTTCCGGGGCCCCTGCCCAAACCGTGGAGCCTTAAGTCTAATCCTGAGGAGACACCACACAAACCTAAGTCCAGGCACATTTTGCAAACTGACAGGCCTGTACTGTTCAAAAAATATCAAGCCCCTCAGAGACAAAAGTTTGACTGTTCCTGATTAGAGGAAATTAAAGACACATAAGAACCAAATGTAACGTGTGGTCATGGGTTAGACACCGGACCAGGCAGGGGAAGTGTTTTTCTTTTGAAGGAGGACATGTGTGGGACAGTGAAATCTGAATAAGTTCAGAAAATTTGATTATTCTCTCTCTCTCTCTCTCTCTGTGTGTGTGTGTGTGTGTGTGTATATATATATATATTAGTTTCCTGCTTTTGATGATTGTCTTGTGGTTATATATAAGGAGGCCCTACTTCTAGAAAACACAGAGGTATTCAGGGAAAGGGACCATCAGGTCACAATTTACTCTCAAGAGACTTTGGGGAAAAATATATAGATACAGATCTAGAAAGAATGGCAAAATGAATGTGGAAGATGTTAGCATCCTGGGGAATCTAGATAAAAGGTATACACAGGGACATTTTTGTACTATTTTTGTAACTTTTCTGTAAGTCTGAAATTATTCCCAAATAAAAAATTAAGCAAAAGTAAAGAAAGAACATTTTTTTTTTCCTGGATGTTTTCTTAAGCATTAGTACAGGAAGAAATATTCATAGTATCGTATAGTCTCACAAGTTCCCTTCGAAAGGCCTGTGGCTATAAGCCTTAGTGCCCCTGGGCACAATACCAGTGACAGAGAGAGAAGGGACCTGTGGTGACGTCCATGCTGTGAGGCTCTGATTTTCAGGCCAGACAGTATGTGTCATGTCCATACCCAGCTGTCAAGAGCCCTGGACCCCGAATGAATGTCGCATCCTCTACACATGCAGAACATATGGGGGCCATACCTGGATAGCAACAGTTAAGCCTTTTCTGAGCAGGTGGGGCCGAAGGCTTTTTGGTGCGTGATGACTTGGTGGGGAGAGAGATGACAGTGGCCGTTTGGTTTTCGTTGCTTTCCGTGGGCAGATAAGTTTGATAGCCATGTTCAAACACAAATTCTGGAGCTGAAACTAAAAGACATGGTAGTTACTAATTTTCATAATATAAATATCCGCCAGCCATTCTCTCTGCTGACCCTTTCCTTTGTAGAGAACGAACATCCCAGTCTCCCTTGATGTTTAAGAGTGATTCCAGGACCCAGTTCAAGCCGATGGATGAGACACTAGAGGACATTTGTTGCAGGGCTTCTGATGGATGCCTGGATAGGTGGCAGCCATTCAGTAACCAGAAGGAGAAAGTAAGTGAATCAGACGCTGGGAGAGAGCTCTGAATCAACAGATCCAGACCCCTCGAGTGAAGGAAAAGTGTTCCTACAATTTACACCAGGAAGGTTTCATGTTAAATGCAGCAGATGCCCTAGGCACTCTGGTAAGCTTTATCACAAAATCCTAACAAACTACCAGAGAAGTACTGATGGAAAGACTTCTGGGTAAGACTATTCTGATAACATTCTTCTTAGCATACGTTTTCCACATACAGTATTCCTGTACTCTTGCTGAAGTTTTTAGGCAAAAGGAGGGAGAGCAAGAGAGTGAGCACAAATAGGCAATGTCATAATATATATATATTTTTTCTTTATTAGACTATAATCTGTCACATGAAGATATGGCCTCAAAGAGGAATAATAGTGGTTTTCTCAGTGGGTGGACATTATCAAGCTGAGAAGCCCTAATGGTGATTCTAAGAGCTACTGTCATACGGTTTTCCAAACCCCAGGCACCCAGGAACCATCTTCAAAATTTTGCAGTTTTATGTACAGAATATACTTATTTAATTCCATGTAGATCCAACGTCACTATTGATTTTAGCCTTGCCCAAAGCAGTAACTTCCCTGATACAGGCTGAAGGTGCTAACTGCATTTTCTCTTTACACAAACACGGTATTTCTTTGAATCTAAGATGTTCGATTAGATGATATTCTTATTTTATTTAATTTTTTTCTTTTTTAATGTGGTGCTGGGGATGGAACCCAGTGCCTCATTCATGCTAGGCAAGCGCTCTACCACTGAGGCCCAGCCCTGGCCCTGATGTTCTTATTTTATAAACAATGAAAATGCTGCCAATAAAATGCATTATGACCCAATGCTTTCTCATTCCTTAGGAATTTTATTTCATATTAAATGCATTCTTTAGTCTTCTGACATCTGACAGGAAACCCCGGTTCCTGACTCCTCCATTTGACAGGCTGGTTCCTGTCAAATAACACCTGGGTTCTGACAGCACCTGCTCTCTGAGCAAACCCAGGGTTCCCATTCTTCTCTGGGAATATGTCGTGGGGGGTTAAAGTCAGCCCACAGAGCCTGACAAGCTGCCATCCCCGTGTCCACGCTGAGTCTCTCTGAGGCACGTGCCAGCACCCGCCTCTGGCTGAGAGGTTTTCACTTACAGCATGGGATTTATTGTCCGTCATGCCTGCTTTCAAGTGCCCTGCTTGGTTCTCAAAGTGTGGTCCCAAGCTAGCAGCACTGGAGCTATCTGGGAACTTGCTTCAAAGGTAAATTCTCAGCCTGCATCTCAGAGGCATTGAATCAGACCCTCTGGGGGTGACAGGTGCCTAGTGTTCTAACCAGCTGTCTGGTTGATTCTGGTCACATGCCTGAGATTGAAAGCCACCGCACAGACCATCCTATTCCAGTATCTCAGAGTAAACTCTAACCTGGCCTTGTCTAGAGGGAATATTGCTGGGTACAGTGGTGCACACCTGTAATCCCAGCAGCTCGGAAGGCTGAGGCAAGAGGATCGCGGGTTCAAAGCCAGCCTCAACAACTTAGTGAGACCCTGTCTCAAAATAAAAAATAAAAAGGGATGTGCACATGGCTCAGTGGCTAAGCGTCCTGGGGTTCAACCCCCAATATGCCCCCCCCCCACCCCTCACACACACACACAAAGGGAGTCTGCCTCCCCTGGATGCTGCTTTGGGAGAACTGGAACATCAGTCATTCTTCCCAGGAGCATTTGCTTCATTACTATCAAATCAACCCTGTTACTGTCTCCAGGCATTTCTGGGTTCACAGATGGGTACAGCGCTTCTCACCACAACCGAATCATCATGGAGAGATTTTATGCAGTGGATAAACTGAAGATAAGCAGTTGCAAAAGCCTGAGGTGACAAGAATGGGATCAACTGTGATCAAGTTTGTTCCCATGCACAGAAGGATACTTTCTGGCCAATGACTACTGGCCGCCACTGCCTCAGGTGGGTGCCAAGGTGCCTCGAATTGATACAGGTCCTGTACAGCAACCTGCTGCTGTGTGACCTCAGGCCAGTTATGAATTCCCTTTGAGCCTCAGTTTCCTCACCTATAAATAGGGATAATCCCCATTTCCCCCTGAGGAGGTGGATGTAAAGCTTAATGAGAGAATTTGATAACAGGATGTGGCCACGGCTAAATTACAACAAGCACCAGCTACTCTAGTTGAACAGATCTAGACTTGGGCCCAGTGCACCAAACTCTCCCCTCGAGTGGTCATGACCTAGGTGGCCCACTGTCCCAAACTTGGACTGAGGTGTTTCCAAAGGTACTGGACCTCTGGTGCTGCAACCAGGCTGGCGTGTTGTGCTGATGTGACCTCTGGACTTTCTGAACAGGTGGCTCCCAGGCGGGAGGCACCCAGAGTGGGGCAGGCCCTCCTGGCAGGCTACCTCACAGGGGCCTCAAAACCCTCCTGGAGGACAGGTGCTGGCTCTACACCTGCCCAGCCTGCCCCTTTCTGTTTCTGGAAACAGGTGGCGCTCTCTCCGAGCTGCCCTGCCACCAGCCTCAGCTTCGCTCTCTGGACAAGTCCCAGCAGGGGCAGCAGGGGCTCCCGAGGATCTGAAGTCCCTCCCAGGCATAGGTTTTCCCCAGGCTGCCGTGTCACTCTGTTGTTCCCCGTGCTGCTCGGGAGCTTGACATTTCCATGTGGTCTCATTTGTCTGTTTCCGCTTCTGTTGTCGCGGGGCCACAGGAGGCATCATGCGTGGGAAGGTAACAGAGCAAAGGGCATCAGCACCCACCTGCAGGGATCATTTTGGGTGTGTGGCCAGTCAGGTGTAACATGTGTCACCCTAAGAAGACAGTCACTAGACCAGAAAGTCTTTGCTCAGGAGCAGGGGCTGCCGAGTTTCACCTTCCCTTAGTGTCTTCACCTGGAGGATGGGGCCAGCCCTCCTAGGGCTGCTGTGAGGGTCAGGGTTGGCATCCGCAGCTGCTGGGATCTCGTTACTAGTCATTCATTTATTCATCTCAGTTTCATAAAGTACCTCCTGTGCACCACGCAGTGTCCTAGGTACTAGAAACAATAGTGATCTAAAGGGACACAAGCCTGCCTTCACGGAGGTGACATTCTAGTTGGGACTGGTGCAGGCCATAACTAACTGAAATACACAGCATGTCAGGTGCTAAATGCCATGGAGAAATGCAAAGCAGGGCGCTCTCAGGGGTGCGGGGACATGCAATGTTAGGCAGGGAGGTCCAGGAAGGCCTCATTGGGGGCCATTTGTACACAAAACAGGGAAGCATATGATTACTGTGGTAATAGTTTTCTGGGGGCTGGGGTTGTGGCTCAGTGGCAGAGTGCTTGCCTAGCATGGGTGAGGTACTGGGTTCAATTCTTAGCACCACATAAAAAATAAATAAAATGGTCTTCTGTTGAAGGCATCTGGAATTTAACAGCAACCCAGAGGCAGTGGGTGACAGTAAGTGTCACACAGATAGGCAGCTTGCCTAACTGGCTTCATCCTCAGGGTCGTGCCTCCAAACCTGGCTTCTCTCTAGGGTCCTCTGGGGACAGCGCATGTTGCCGAAGTACCCCAGGAAACCCTTCCTGTGGCCTTGAACACCAAGGGACTGCTGGTGACCAACTGCCTCCCTTGGTCCCTTTGGGTGTTTACATGTGATCTGATGCTGGAGTCACCACCCATTCCGAGGTGTGAGTGTGTGTGTGTGTGGGTGGTGGGTGGTCAGAAGTAAGACTGACCTGGAACCAACTTCTCCACATTCACCAGTTCTGGGGCCTTGACCAAGTCACTTCTCTGCTCGTCAGGGTTACTTTTGGTCAGTCAAATTGTAAAGTTAGTGGAGACCACAGAGCTGAGAGCTTACTGTTCTAGTAAAGTCTCAAGGAGGTTAAGAAGTACTGAGTGGGAACACTCAGTTATCAGCTGATATTGCTGGAATTTGATGCAATAACAGATCATCATTCATTGGTCTGCATTTAGGTTTTATAGACTGAGTGGCATTAGCCTCAGGGAATCTCAGGGCACCAAGCAGCAGTGAAGGCAGCAGGGACAGTCCCAGATCTGCCAAGGCGGAATAGCAAGGACCACTAGGACTCACCCCCCACTCTAGCATGGCCCTTAAAATCAAGTCCCTGCTTAGTGAGAGAAGATCCCCTGGCCCAGCAGCTCCGTCTCACACACCTGCAGTGGCTTTTGGTTTGATTGTTGCCTCCTGGGATGTCCCTGGCTTTCCTGTGTGGTCAGGTGAGTCTGAGAGACTGTCACATTTAGTCCTGGTTTGTAGCAGGGAAGTCCTGGGCCTTTAGTTATTTGGTCATACATTTGCTTAAAATGTAAGCCTGCCCCGTGGATTCCACAGGGAACCGAAATCCTTAGCTCCTTCTCACTAGTGCCCTCAGTGGATGGGCTCATGTGCCCACCTCCTTTTCTACACGTCACCCTTCAACTGTCTGAAGATCGCTCTCACATCTCCCAAGTCAACCCGCTTCTTCAATTAAAAAACTCCATTAAAGGGGCTGGAGTTGTGGCTCACCTAGCATATATGAGGCCCTAGGTTTGATCCTCAGCACCACATAAAGGTCAATAAATAAATGTATTGTGTCCATCTACAACTAAAAATATTTAAAAAAGAAAACTCCATTCAAAATCCTTTTCTCTTTTTAAAAATTATAAGTCTTATTATTTTTGCAAAATATAAATGAACACTAATTGTTAGCAAATCTGGAAAGTACAGGAAAATGTAGAGAAGTAAGTAAAAATTGCCTGATTGTTGTCATCACATGTGACACA